TGGGCCGTCTTGGACTCTCTTGGGCCGTCTTGGAGGCCGTCTTGGGCCATCTTGGGCGTACTTGGAGGCCATCTTGGGCCATCTTCGCGATTGTTTGAGGATGTCCCGAGCGAAACGGCCGTTTTTGGAGCAGGAGAAACCCTTGCAACCAGGTTTTGAGATCCTTTTCGGGTGGCCGGCGGGACGGGCCGAAGCCCACTGGGAGAGTTTTTTGGGGAAAGAACCAATACCAAAATCGTGAGAAGTTCAGCACGCCAGGCACCCCTGTGATGGATCAACAGGGGGCGGCGGATGACGCGCTTGCGTCGCAATCCGTTAGCCGGGAGAAATGTCAAGGGGGGGGTGGGGGGGCGGCAGGGGGACTCTCAAGATCTAATGGCCTTCAGTGTCGGCAAACGTCGTCCCTTTCCTATGGGGAAGCGTGTATTTTTAGCATGCTTTGCTTTTTCGGTCTTCGATGCGTCCTAAAGCTTGATCGGCCCCCAAGATCGCCCCATGACGGCCCAGGGGGCCCCCAAAAGAGCCCAACGCGGCCCAAGAGGGCTCCAAGATTGCCCCAAGTGTTGGCAAACATCGCCCCACTCCTATGGGAAACCGTGCATGTTTGACATGATTTGCTTTTTCGGTGTTCGATGCGTCCAAGACGGCCCGAGACGCTTCCAATATCGCCCCCCCGAGAGGGGGATCACGAACCGAAGAGTCTAGCCTATCGCCCCAAGACGCTCCCAGGAGGCCCCCACAGCCCCCCAAGAAGCCCCAAGAGGCCCCCAAGAGGCGTCCCACGAGGCCAACAGGAGCCCAAAATCATACATGTTCTATGGGAAAACGTACATTTTTAGCATACACGGCTTTTCGGCTTTCACGGCGTTGACGACGGTCCCAGAGGCCCCCAAGACCGCCCCAAGACGGCCCAAGAGGCCCCCAAAACTGCCCAAGAGGGCGCCACGATGGCCCAAGAGGCGCCCCAGACGGCCCAAGAGGGCCCCAAGACGGCCCCAAGAGGGGGACCACGAACCCGAAAGTCTAGCTTTTCTCCCAAAGACGCTCCCAGAAGGCCCCCAGAGCCCCCCAAGAGGCCACCAGGAGGGTCCGAAAAGGTCCCCAATAGGACTCCCACGACGGCCCAGAGACGCCAAGAGCCTTCGGTAATGCAAAAAGCTCTTCACACTAAGGTTCCCAGGAGCGAACGGTGACGTAAACAAGCTGATAAGACCAAGGCTCCCGGCAGAGAGCGGTGACGTAACAAGTTCCTGACACCATGGCCCAGCCAAGGCTCAGGAACTGGCGGCAACGCAACAATCTCTGAACCCCAAGGCTCCCAAGAGCGAGGGGTGACGTAACAAGCTCTCAACGCCAAGGCTCCCGGTACGAACGGTGGCGTGAGTAATTTCGGTTTCTGTTGCTGCAGCGATCTTTCCGTTTCTGTGCCGCGCCAGGTAACTCAAAGAGCGAGGTACGAGTGATGACGTTCTGGTGTGGGCGAAGCCCTAAAGGGAGGGGTTCCGGGGGAGGGGGGAAGCGTGCGGAATTGCGTGTTAATGGCCGTTTTCGGGTTTTCCGTATGGTTTTTGAATGTTTTTCGGGTTCCCCCCCAAGACGGCCCAAGAGCGCTCCAAGAGAGCCCAAGACCGCCCAAGACGGCCCAAGAGGCTCCCAAGAGGCCCCCAAGAGGCGCCCAAGGGGCGCCCCAAGAGGGCCCCAAGAGGCCGAAATTACTGATTTTCCATAGGAAAAGGTATATTTTTAGCAGACAAGGCTTTTCGGCTTTCACTGCGTTGAAGACGCTCCAAGAGGCCCCCAAGACCGCCCCAAGACGGCCCAAGAGGCTCCCAAGAGGCCCCCAAAACGGCCCAAGAGGGCCCCCAGACGGCGCAAGAGGCGCCCAGACGGCCCAAGAGGGTCCCAAGACGGCCCCAAGAGGGGGACCACGAACCGAAAAGTCTAGCTTTTCGCCCCAAGACGCTCCCAGGAGGCCCCCAGAGCCCCCCAAGAAGCCCCAAGAGGCCCCCAAGAGGCGTCCCAAGAGGCCACCGGGAGGCGAACATCATTGATTTCCCATAGGAAAAGGTACATTGTTAGCAGACAAGGCTTTTCGGCTTTCACTGCGTTGAAGACGCTCCAAGAGGCCCCCAAGACCGCCCCAAGACGGCCCAAGAGGCTCCCAAGAGGCCCCCAAACCGGCCCAAGAGGGCGCCAAGACGGCCCAAGAGGCGCCCAAGACGGCCCAAGAGGGCCCCAAGACGGCCCCAAGAGGGGGACCACGAACCGAAAAGTCTAGCTTTTCGCTCCAAGAAGCTCCCAGGAGGCCCCCAGAGCCCCCCAAGAAGCCCCAAGAGGTCCCCAAGAAGTTTCCAAGAGGTTTCCAAAAGGGCCCGACAAGGGCCCCAATAGGACTCCCAAGAAGGCCAAGAGACGCCAAATAGAGAGCGATCGGTAACGCAAAAAGCTCTTCACACCAAGGCTCCCAAGAGCGAACGGTGACGTAAACAAGCTGATAAGACCAAGGCTCCCAGCAGAGAGCGGTGACGTAACAAGTTCCTGACACCATGGCCCAGCCAAGGCTCAAGAACGGGCAACGGGCGGCAACGCAACAATCTCTGAACACCAAGGCTCTCAAGAGCGAGGGGTGACGTAACCAGCTCTCAACGCCAAGGCTCCCGGTACGAACGGTGGTGTGAGTAATTTCGGTTTCTGTTTCTAAAGCGCTTTTTCCGTTTCGGTGCCGGGCCAGGTAACGGAAAGAGCGAGGTACGAGTGATGACGTTTTGGTGTGGGCGAAGCGCTAAAGGGAGGGGTTCCAGGGGAGGGGGGTGGCGTGCGCATTTGGGTGTTAATGGCCATTTTCGGGTTTTCCCTATGGTTTTTGCATGTTTTTCGGGTTCCCCCCCAAGACGGCCCAAGAGCGCTCCAAGAGAGCCCAAGACCGCCCAAGACGGCCCAAGGGGCCCCCAAGAGGCGCCCAATGGGCGTCCCAAGAGGGCCCCAAGAGGCCGAAATCATCGATTCTCCATAGGAAGAAGGTATATTTTTAGCATATGCGCTTTGTCGGCTTTCACGGCGTTGACCCCCAAGACCGCCCCAAGACGGCCCAAGAGGCCCCCAAGAGGCCCCCAAAACGGCCCAAGAGGGCCCCAAGACGGCCCAAGAGGCGCTCAAGACGGCCCAAGAGGGCGCCAAGACGGCCCCAAGAGGGGGACCACGAACCGAAAAGTCTAGCCTTTCGCCGCAAGACGCTCCCAGGAGGCCCCCAGAGCCCCCCAAGAAGCCTCAAGAGGCCCCCAAGAGGCGTCCCAAGAGGCCACCGGGAGGCGAAAATCATTGATTCCCGATGGAAAAAGTGCATACAAGGCTTTTCGGTTTTCACTGCGTTGAAGACGCTCCAAGAGGCCCCCAAGACCGCCCCAAGACGGCCCAAGAGGCTCCCAAGAGGCCCCCAAAACGGCCCAAGGAGGCCCAAGAGGCGCCCAAGACGGCCCAAGAGGGCCCCAAGACGGCCCCAAGAGGGGGACCACGAACCGAAAAGTCTAGCCCTTCGCCCCAAGAAGCTCCCAGGAGGCCCCCAGAGCCCCCCAAGAAGCCTCAAGAGGCTCCCAAGAGCTTCCCAAGAGGCCTCCAAAAGGGCCCGACAAGGGCCCCAATAGGACTGCCAAGAAGGCCCAGAGACGCCAAATAGAGAGCGATCGGTAACGCAAAAAGCTCTTCACACCAAGGCTCCCAAGAGCGAACGGTGACGTAAACAAGCTGATAAGACCAAGGCTCCCAGCAGAGAGCGGTGACGTAACAAGTTCCTGACACCATGGCCCAGCCAAGGCTCAGGAACGGGCGGCAACGCAACAATCTCTGAACACCAAGGCTCCCAAGAGTGAGGGGTGACGTAACAAGCTCTCAACGCCAAGACTCCCAGTACGAACGGTGGTGTGAGTAATTTCGGTTCCTGTTTCTGAAGCGCTCTTTCCGTTTCGGTGCCGGGCCAGGTTCCTTTGGCCCATCTGGCCACAGTGTTTGGGTTGTGGGCATGAAGCCTACTGAATGTTCGCTGGGATCTCGTGCGGAGCTTCTCGGGGGCCTCTTGGAGGCAGTTTGGACGCCTCTTGGGGGCTGTTTGGGTGCCTCTTGGGGCCTCTTTTGGGCCTCTTGGGGCCTCTTGGGGCCTCTTGGACGCCTCTTGTGGCCTCCTGTGGGCCGCTTGGGACGGAAGGCTCGGATGTTCGGTTCGTGTTCCCTCTCTTGGGGCTCTTTTTGGGGCCGTCTCTTGTGCCGTCTTGGGCGCCTCTTGGGCCGCCTTGGGGCCCTCTTGGGCAGTTTTTCGGCCCTCTTGGAGGCCTCTTGGGTCGTCTTGGGGTTGTTTGGAAGAACCTCTAGGGCCGTCTGGGAGCGTCGGGAAGCCGAAAGTCGAGAACGCCCAAATCCTTCAAAAACCCAAGGACGTCCATGCTTTTGGCCTCTTGGTGCCCTCTTGGGAGGCCTCTTGGAGGTCTCTGAGGGCGTCTTGGATCCCTCTTGGGCCGTCTGGGGGCAGTCTTGGGCGTCTTGGAGCGATCGTTCGGCGACTCGAGGCCGTCTTCGGCCGTCATGGAGATCTCTTTGGTGGGGCCCTCTGGGCCCGTCTGGGGGCCCTCCTGGGCCCGAGAACCGCGCGACAAGACGCGCCAAGCCCCAGGGGGCACGCGGGAAGGCCCGGGAGATTTGGCAATGTTGGGTCAGGGCCGTTCCATAAGTTTTCAGGGGTGAGGATTGGGGCTCAGAGGGGTACTCCAGATTTCGTAATAAAAGGGAGGGGGTCTCATTTCGGGGGGGTCTCTTCCAGGCTATCTTGGAGCGCCTGGGGGGGTCTGGGGACGATGTTTTGGAGGGTTCTCCCACGGGGGGGGGGTCTGAAATGGCTTGTCTTGGAGGGTCCAGACCCCCTCCCTTTTATTACCAAATCTGGAGTAGTGAGAGGACCTGAGGACACGCCCACTCCGTACCGGCGGCACGGTGGCGGATCTATTCCGATGAAGGCCTTCAGAAAATAGCAAAGCGCATGGCACAGTTGACGCACAGCAGTCAGCTTACAGCTTCACCCTCCAGCACGATCGACATATCGAAAATTGTGCGCACTGAGTTGCTGAAGGAGACCTGCCACGCGACCCGCTCTGACCTCCAAAAAGAGTTCGCCCAAATTACGAACGCAGTGGGATCGATGATTGAGGTGTCCCAGATACGTGTCGACCGCCTCCTACCCCTCGTGCGCGATGCGCACGAGAAGGAGGCGCTGCTCAAGCGCCAATTGGAGATCAAGCGGGCCGACCACTTGGAAAATTGGACCGACTATTTCACACTGGTTCTGCCGCATGATGTCGAGGATCAGGACCTACAGTTCTTCGAGGTGGCGAAGGCGAAGGGCGCGGGCCATCAGAAGCAGAGGCACGACGCCCCTCAACGAACACCCAGGACTTCCCCACAGCCGTGCTACCGTCGCCTCAGGTGTTGTTGCATCGTGATGTTGTTGTTCCAGATCCTGATGTGGCTGCTGCTGATGTGGTCTCTGGGACTTATCGACATCGGTTGCTCCCTCGTTTCGGTGCCTCCCCCTCCTTCCCTCCTTCCCCTCTCCATGAGGTTTCTCCCCTCTGCCTCGTGGTCCCCCTTTCTCTCTCTCTCTTTCGCTCTCTCTCTCTCTCTCTCTTCTCTCTCTCTCTCTTTCGCTCTTTTTTTTTTTTCTCTCTCTCTCTCTCTCTCGCTCTCTCTCTCTCTCTCTCTTTCTCTCTTTCACCCAACCATCCTGTTGTGTTGGGTCCTCGTTTTGAAGAGACAGCGCCCCGCGTCCCTCCTCCTCCTCCTCCTCGTCCTCCTCCTCCTCCTCCTCCTCCTCATCCTCTCCTCCTACTCCCCCTCCTCCCTCCTTCCCATTCGTCCTTGCTCTTCACGCACTCAGTACAGCGTTTCGTGGCCCCGTAGGGAGCTCCACCGAAGGCTCCACTGGGACCGCCCGCATGCGTCATCCACTAACTAGTACAGCGTTTCGTGGCCCCGTAGGGGGCTCCACCGAAGGCTCCACTGGGACCGCCCGCATGCGCCATCCACCAAACAGTACAGCGTTTCGTGGCCCCGTAGGGGGCTCCACCGAAGGCTCCACTGGGACCGCCCGCATGCGTCATCCACCACCCAGTACAGCGCTTCGTGGCCCCATGAGAGGGCTCCACCGAAGGCCCCAGTGTGACCGCCCGCATGCGTCATCCACCACCCAGCACAGCATTTCGTAGCTCCATAGGAAGCTCCACCGAAGGCTCCAGTGGGACCGCCCACGTGCGTCACCCACCACCCAGTACAGCGCTTCGTGGCCCCATAGAGTGTTCCACCGAAGGCCCCAGTGGGACCGCCCGCACGCGTCACCCACCACCCACTACAGCGCTTCGTGGCCCCATAAGAGGGCTCCACCGAAGGCCCCAGTGGGACCGCCCGCACGCGCCATCCACCACCCAGTGCAGCGTTTCGTGACCCCATAGGGAGCCCCACCGAAGGCCCCAGTGTGACCGCCCGCATGCGTCATCCGCCACCCAGTACAGTGCTTCGTGGCCCCATAGGAAGCTCCACCGAAGGCTTCATTGGGACCGCCTGCATGCGTCATCTACCACCCAGTACAGCGTTTCGTGGCCCCATAGAGGGTTCCACCGAAGGCCCCAGTGGGACCGCCTGCATGCGCCATCCACCACCCAGCACAGCACTTCGTGGCCCCATAGGGAGCTCCACCGAAGGCTCCACTGGGACCGCCCGCGTGCGTAACCCACCACCCAGTGCAACGTTTCGTTGCCCCGTAGAAGGCTCCACCGAAGGCCCCAGCGGGACCGCCCGCATGCGTCATCCACCACCCAGTACAGCGCTTCGTGGCCCCATGAGAGGGCTCCACCGAAGGCCCCTGTGGGACCGCCCGCATGCGCCATCTTCCACCCAATGCAGCGCTTCGTGTCCCCACAGGGAGCTCCACCTAAGGTCTCCGTGGCGGAACTCGTATGGCGGCCCAGCGGCGGAGTTCGCATGGCGACGATTTTCGATTTTCGGATGTTTTTTTTTGTCGTATTCGACGTATGGGGGACGCTTTCGGGCCGCGCATCCCAGGCGGGAGCCAGCCTGCTCGCTCTGTCTGCTCCTCGCAGCGGACGACCCGCGCGCGTCGCCAGGACCCCTTCGGGGTGACCAGCGCGCGTCGCGGGGACTCCGTGCGGCGCCGCGCCCGCAGCCTTGGACGTGGGCGCGCACGGGCAAAAAGGGAGAAGAAGAACGGGAAGGAAGCGGGCGCGATCCTCGTGAGAGGCGTGCCGACATGGGCGTCGACATTATTGCACGTAGATTCACGCGTGCGCAGACTCATCCACAATCAGACTCACTCGCTCTGATTCTCTCGCACACAGATCTATCGTCTTCGCTCGCGCCGTGTGCCCCGCCACGCATGTCGGCACGCCCCTCGCACGGTTCGTGGCCCCATAGGGAGCGCCGGCGAAGATGATATTCATAATTGCGGTATTCACAACTACACATGGTTGGGTCTTTCGCCAGGCTAATTGTGTGTGTGTGTTCTCTCTCTCTCTCTCTCTCTCTTTTTTTGTCTCTCTCTTTCTCTCTTTCTCTCACGCGTTTCACTGTTCACGCCAACAAAGATGTCGCGGAACTTTCGCACATTGATTTCGGAGCTGTTGGGTTTTGGGGCCAGTTTAGGCGTTGCACACGGCCTCCCGGGGCTAAAAACAATGCGTAACGTGAAAAGTGGTGCTTAACCGGGGTCGTGGGGTTGGCTTGGGTGTTTCACGGAGCCTCCCAAGGTTAACAAGTACGCATGAGAACCAGACGTCTTTTTTTGGAACCCAGGAGCCCAGACATAACTCCATATTCTAATGGCGAGCATCGTGGGGGGCAGGTTAAAACGTCCATTCGAGGCCCCGCTATAGTTTCAACCTTTTTTTTACCAGGGCTCAGGGTCGAGCTCACGCCGTCGAGGTCCTCGCTGCGTGGTCTTCCTCTTCATCCTCCTGCTCCTCATGATCCTTCTCCTGTGTTTCCTGTTCCTTGTCGATATCCTCCCCCTCCTCTTCATCCTCCTCCTCCTCCTCCTCCTCCGTATCTCACTCGCACTCGCCTGTTTCCCCTCCTTCTATTCCCATTTCTCTCCTTCTCAAGGCCCCAGTGATGTGGGCAGCTGTCAGCGGCGAGTGCACACAGAATGGCACTTGCGTGGCAAGCCCAAATTTCCCAGGGAAGTACGGGCACATGCAGAAGTGCGTGTTGGGCATCAATTTAGCGTCTGTGGTGCCCATCCGAGTCGAGCATTTCCGCACTGAGCAGAGGTATGATAAGCTCGTGGTCAATGGAGTGGAGTATTCCGGAACTGCTAGCCCAGACGGCGTTATCCCGACAGCGAGCATTACGTGGACTTCGGATGGTGACCATAGTAACCAAGGGTGGAGGCTGTGCGAGGCATCCTCTCCAGCATGAGGAAGAATAGGAAGAGGCACAGGAGCAGGTGTGAGAGGAGACGAGTAGGGAGACGGTTAACGAACCAGCTTACACATCTCATCGCTATGCAAAGAGGAGAAGAAAACGAAACCGAATATTACCCCCCGGGGCGGGTCGGCGCCAGCCTCGTGAGCCTCGGTTGGCTGAGTTTCCCATCAGGCCATTCGGCCTTCTAATTCCTGGACGGGTCCTCCCACTTCTGAATTGCGGTCAGGGCTTATTTGCCTGCTTGAGTGGGGTGTTGCTTACATGCAGCGACCATGCCCGCACCCAGCCGGCCACCCCCAGTGGGGGTAGAGCCTAGACACCCGCCCCTCCAACAAACAATCTGACTATACGTCTCATGCATTACCTTCCCCTAGACTTCAATCCCCTAGACTTCAAACAGGGGGGGCAGTGGAACGGGTTTCCCTTAGGACTCGACTCGGTGGAATTGGGCCCCCAGGCACCTTTCCTGGCGGAGCCAGTCCAAAACAGAAGACTTGCCAGGACCGCTTTGGCAGTACAAACAGACCCAGGAACCCCTTACCTTGGTTAAGCTGTGCCCAGAAGAGTGCTCGAGTAGCTTCCTCTCACGCCATGGCTTGCTGGCACCCTGCACCCTTCATGCGAAATTGTGCTGGCTCCCCTCTTCTTGTGCAACGGACGAATTAACACTGGCTATCCTGCGCTGTTCTAACCAGGCCTTGAACTCAGCCTCTGCTAAGACACGCAGTTCAGGATATATGGGCTGCGCATTCGCTCAGCACCTGTCTGAGCATACTTGCTTGCTAGATCCTTGCCCCTCGAAACTTGAAGAGCTGGAATGTCTGCCAACAAAGATGTGCAGTCAAATTGGGAATCACACTTGCTTATCATCACTCGTCTGCCTACCGCTTCATTTCTGGTTCGAGCCCACCAGCCCTCTAGATGTCCAGCAGAGGCCACATCGGAGACGTCGTGCCGACGGTCGTACACAACCTGGCCGTCCATGTAGACCTAGACCGGGCCTTGTGAGATTTGCAAGGCCCACCAAAGGGCCGTAAGCTCAGGATATGGCATCGTATGCACTCGATCGATATCCCCACACGCACCAGGACGGAAAACCTCGGGATCATTTTCCTCGACCTGTTGCACCGACTGGGCGAAGTACATTCCCCAGCGTGCACCCGCTATCCGCGCGTCCGTGCTCGACGCCGAGCCGTCCAGGAAGGCCGGCTTGCTGATGATGCGCTGGTGGTACGGGATGGTGCAGTCTGGCAGCAGGTCAGTCCAGGTAATGTGGCCACTGCTGGTCGCCCCAAGCCGGGGGCGGTGGCACTTCGTTGCACGTATTCGGAAGCATGCCACGCTCCCACAACTCAAGGTTCACTTCCAGCTTCCTTGGCGATGTCTTGCTCCGCTTCAACACGCAGCCCCTCGCTCTGTCTGATCCACGGGTGGTCGGAAACTGGCGTGGGTTTGCACTCCCAGACGCTGTGGCCCATAGTCTCAGGTCAGCCTGAGGTGCACCTTTTGCAGAGCCCGTCCACATGGTGTTGCACACCACCGCCTCCAGCGCTCCAGCTTCTCGATGTAAGTCCATGCGCCTCATCCTTTGCACTGTCTTGGCAGCCGATATTGGGTCTGGTCTCGAAATCCACTCGCCTCCAACATGGTCCTTGCCAGCTTGCTGCCGTAGCTCCTGCAAGACGTCCGCCACGATCACCGCCACCATGTCGCTGGCGCCGTCCTCTCCCTCATGCTGCGCTTCTCGGTCCGCAAGACCTTCATGGTCAGCACTTCGTTCAGGATGCTCTTGATCCCGATGTTCTCCACAAGCAGGCGTACCCTCTGGCCACCTCTTCTCGACGCTGGGTATGGGGGCCTCACGTCTGCACCCTTAAAGCCTGATCGTCACACTGCCCTGCATAGTCGTCCAACAAGTCGGCGTTCTGTGTTGGGTGGCTAGGCTACAGATCGCCAGTCGCACGTAGCTTTTAGCACGTACGTGTGGGGCAATTACGAAGGGCTGCCCCAACCCTCCTGACCCCCTGACCCAGATCTCGTCGTAGGCAAACAATATTCGGCCCATCAACCTCCAGCGATTCAGCACCGCAGGGTCCCACACTCTTGGGGGGCGCCTGCCCAGGAGCGGGTTTCGTCGCCGTCTCTGCCTTCTGGGCGGTAGAGTCGACAGCGAACACGACGTCCAGGTTAAGGGGCCAGATCCTCCATGAAGCCCACGTCGCTGTCGTCGAGGTCGAGATGCCCTCGTTGCTGTGCTTCTCCGCTCTCGGTTTGTCGTTTGTGGGGCAATTACCGAGGGTTGCCCCCAACCTCCTGACCAAGAGCTGCTCGTAGGTAAGGTAGCCGGCCCGCAGGGTCCCACTCTCTTTGGGGCGCCGGCCCAGGAGCGGGTTTCGTCTGCGACGCCGTCTCTGCCTTCTCAGGGAAGGGCCAGGGCCGCAGCGTCGATGGCGCAACCGATGGCAAGGCAGATGGATCGTCAATGAGGTCCGACTCCAGCTTCTCCATGGGGTCCACCTCGCTGTTTTGCCTGTACCCTGGCTCGCTTCACTGCTGGTGGTGGCAGCCCTCGGTCCCAGCAGAACATTGGCGACATCTGAACCTGGATCCCCAGGATTTGTGAAGCTGCCTGCGCTCTGACTGCGCAAAACTAAGGCGACATGTGAACTGGAGCTCCCAGATTTGAATGGCTGTCTGCATTCTGACTGGGCAACAGAGAGGCGACGATTGAACCTGGTTTCCCAGAATTTGCATGCGCCATGTCCATGTAGCGCCTCTGGAGTCACAACCCAGCTCTGGCAACCCCTGGATCAATGCTGCCATGGGGCCCGTGACCACGTTCCATTGGCCTCTAGGCCTTGCAGCTCGTAGGCGACGCATCGCTGCATGCCATCCAGCTCGTAGCTTGCTGTGGTACGTGGCATGCGCCTTCCACAGCCTGATCCACTCGGCAACCTGTCGGGTTGGCCCTGCTGCGTTGAGATCCCTCTCGAGGAAGTGGGACAGCATGACCATTGACGTATCTCGCCCTCCCGTTGTGTATCCAAGCCTGTCTGCAGCTTCCGCTCGAGCTCTCTTGACGTCCGCTGGCGGCGCGCCCACGGCAGGGCCGTCGTAGTTGGACTTCTGGCCCTCACGCTGGTGGCGCTGAGTTGCGCCGGCCTGCGCCTTCGCCAGCTTGCTCCTTTGAGTGCGTTGGCTGAAGTCGGGCGTGTCCGTCCACAGGAGGTATTTAAAATTATCCTGGCGAAGGTCCCAACCATATGCAATTGTGAATAACGCTTTGTGGGTGCCGCTTTCGGTGGGGCTCCTTATGGGGCCACGAAAGGCGTGCCACGAAACGCTGTCCTGGGCGTACGGGACGCATGAGGGCGGTAGCACTGGGGCCTTCGGTGGAGCTCCCTATGGGGCCACGAAACGTGTGAGGGGTGTGCCGAAATGGGTGCGGCGCCGCCATGCGAACGCAGCCACTGGGGCCTTCGGTGGAGCTCGCCACGAAGCGTGTGCGGGGTGTGCCGAAATGGGTGCGGCGCCGCCATGCGAACGCAGCCACTGGGGCCTTCGGTGGAGCTCCCTATGGGGCCACGAAACGTGTGAGGGGTGTGCCGAAATGGGTGCGGCGCCGCCATCCAACGCAGCCACTGGGGCCTTCGGTGGAGCTCCCTATGGGGCCACAAAACGTGTGAGGGGTGTGCCGAAATGGGTGCGGCGCCGCCATCCGACGCAGCCACTGGGGCCTTCGGTGGAGCTCCCTATGGGGCCACGAAACGTGTGAGGGGTGTGCCGTGATAGTGGGAGGGGGAAGGAGGGAGGGAGGGGGCAGCGGGAGGAAGGAAGGAAGGAAGGAGTGAACGCGGGGCGCTGTCTCTGCAAAACGAGGACCCAACACCACAGGATGGTTGGGAAGAATGTTCAAAAATAGCCTGGGGATGATTGTTCGATTATTTTTGGCTCGTTTTGAGTATTATTTCAGTATCTTTCATTTTTCTTACAAACAACCGCATGTAGGGGGACATACCCGACCTAAACGTTGGCTCTGATCACTCTTTTTCTGGCGGCTGCCTTTCGCTTGGTGGCCGTTCTTCTTCTCCTCCTTCCGCTGACAATGTCTATGCCCAGGTCCTTGGCAAAGGTGGCCGTACCGATGTTGACCCCCGGCTGCTTCAGGGCCTCCTTGGTGACCGTTGCTTCTTATGCTCTAGGCTCGGGTGAGAGGCCATGGTTATCGACGTTGCTGACATCTCCAGGTGGCTATCCATATAGCCTCTCACGATTTCTACCGTCGCATTGACCAGGTCGTTCTTGACTTTGGTGTAGTTGCCATCCGGCCTTGCGGTCACGCCGTCCACGTGTTGGCAATGCAGTGCAGCAGAACTTTGCTGTGAGCCCTCTACAACAACGTGTAGAGGAGCGCTCTTGCCGTATGTTTCGCATTGTTGCACCCTGGTACTATACTGCTCTCTGGTGTGATGGCTGGAGCATAAGGCCCGGCAGCTCGCACTACTCTTGGCGCCAGGTACGTCGCACAGTGGAGGCACACTTCCACCGCTGGAGAATCAAGATCCCGAGCACGCGAAACCAACAGCTTGAGATTGATACACTCATAGAGTTTTCTTGGCATCCAGATATACGGAGCCCCATGCTGGGGTCTCATCTCTTGCTCTGCTTTCGTCCACTGCCATGCTGAAAAGCTCTGCCTGCAGAGCCGACGACTGCCACCGCTGTGTCCCAAAAGACCGCTCTGGTGTTGCTCCAGTGCGCCATCTCTCTTCGCCGCATGCGCCCCCACAGCCGAATTGGCAATCGTATTAATCCACTGCCGTGACGTTGTCGCCCTTGCGCAGTAGCTCATACCAAACATGCATCCATCGATGCGGCCGCGCAAGTGTCTGCTCCGACTGGTTGAGCAGATCCACGAGTTCGTGTCGTCCTCTTGGTGCTAGTGCTTGAAGATGTTGTGCCTTCCCCATGCC